AATTCACATTAACTAATAATTTATCTTACTTTTATCTATATTAAACAAATATGTATGATCATAGCATTATGTGATTTGCAATTGACTCTGAAGGCCAGGCCATTTAAATAATCAGGCGAAGTTTGATACACTATCTACAATATATCTAGAAATAAGACCCGATCGTGCGGCGGATCTAGCAAACGGAATGAGGTGGGGCTAAATTTTTTGTAGTAATTGAATAGGCGATAAAACAAAATGTCACAAATAAGACAAAAAAATAATATTATACATATACATTCTAATTTTTTGATATAATTCAAGATGAAATCTTATACAATATCTTTAATATTTTGTAAATTTCAGTATTACTATTCATCCTGATAACTGGAAATGTATTATTATCAAAACAAAAATATTCATCTACCCAATGAAAACACATCAAGTTGTATATATGTCAAGATCTCATGATTTTCTCAATATTAAATTATACTCGACATGAGTAGAAGAGAGATAATATTTCTCAATATGTTGGAGCAAAGAATTTATTACAAGTATATTTCTTAGTTAATTTCGTAGTTGACATGAATTTTCATTGCCAACAATCCTCAACATAACAACTATTATAGTAGCATGCAATGTTTAGATAGATTTATACAAAGATACAACAGATAAATAAATCATTGCAATAAAAAAAAAATTAATATGAGTAAACAAGAAAGAAAAAAGACTAATTAATAAACAACTTCATTTACGGATTATTTTGGTAAAACTACACAATTTATATTTATTATTTTGGGATTATGTATTATAAAAATTAAAAAGCTAAATTCCAGGTGGGGCCCGGATCATGTCAAATAATCAAGTCAAATTTAACTCAATTGCTATTCACTGCCCTCCCTATTACTACTTACCGCCCCCCTTTGGACAATTTTGCCACTAGCATTTTTTTTCAAAAAGTAAAAATAAAATAAAAAACCGTCCGGTTCCGGCGGCCGAACGGGCTAAAAGCCGTCCGGTTCCGGCGGCCGGACGGTCTAAAAGCCGTCCGGTTCCGACGGCCGGACACATAATTTTTCGTACCTCGGAATTTGACGACATTTCACCGTGCATTTTCCTCTGAGATGTTTAGAAAAAATGAAAAGAGCAAAATCGTCCAAGAGGGGCGGTGACTACTAAAATGGGGGGCGGTGAATAGTACCACTCTTAATTAGTGTGTAACTTCTTAAAACGACAATAACAGGGAGTAACAATTATTGATGTTGGAGAGATTAGACTGTACATGTCATTTAATTTTAAATAAATCAATTACAACTGTAGACAATTAAATTTTGAGCCAATAAAATGGCGACAAGTGTCAAATTTCATGTTAAAATCAATTTAATAATTTTCTATTTTATTTGGGAAATTAATCAAATTTTAATTCCTAAATTAAATAGTTAATTAATTGATTATTTAATATATATTGTTGGCCAATTAAAGAATGCCACATGTATATTTTGAAGGCCAATTAAAGAATGCCACATGTCATTTTCTTGGAGAGTAAAATAAATAATTATTTCTTTAAATAATTATTAAAGAGATAAATAAGTGGAAATTCATGGACCAATCAAATTGAAGTCTTCTTTTCCAAGAGTCCATCTTCTAATTATCTCTTTAATAAATAAATATTGGAAATTATGGACCAATCAGAATGAAGTCTTCTTTTCCAAGACTCTCTCTCCTAACACCTATAAATAGGGACCCTCCCTAAGGTGAAAAAAACACAATTCATATTCATATTTCAAGCTCCAAGTTCAAGAGCTCTAGAGAATTCTCTCCACGAGATTCAACTGTTCTTGAAGATCCAAAGGCGTTCTTGAAGATTCGAAGGAAGATTCAAGCACGTTCAAGCTCAAAACCGACGTTCAATCCGGAAATAAGCTGCCAAGCCTCCGAATTGCGTTATTAAAGTCAAGACCGGCGTAGAGAAGATCAAAATCAACTTTGCGGCGAAGACCAAGGACTCGTGTTCTTCACGTTCTTGGGAAATCAAGACGTTCGATTCGAGATCAAGCTGTCAAGCCCTCGAAGAAACGTTATTTAAATCCAAATTCAAGACCGGCGGAGATCAAACTGAAGATTCATCTCCAAAAGTCTCAAATCCACTTGAAGATTGTTCTTGAAGAAATTAATCAGAGGAATAATAGAGATTTAGAATCCACTATATTTCATTTGATCCGTTGAAATCCATTTGTACGAAGTTCTCGTGTTTATTAATTCAATAATACGAATTTTGCGTTACA